CCTTTCGCGAAGAAATTTCCATTGTAATTGAGAGTTTAAAATTAAATGAACAAACCACTTTATCGCTCAACTTTCCAATACTTTGTATCGTGCTGCTCATGGACTTCAAGCTACTCTGAGAGCTCCAGATAAAAACGGGCATATTCCGTCGCATTATACCGGTATTTGTAACCGAGTGTGCCATTGCGACCATGCATGTAATGTATACATTACCCGAAGCCGATTCCGCCGGTGGCGCATGTACGCGTACCCTGTCGCGATGTTCGTACACGCGCGCAGGACGCACTATCACATCACTGCGCGTGCACGTGTATGTGTGTACGTGTATGCATGTCGCGACTCACACGGCACACCGCGCGCGTTATGTTGCGCCCGGGGGCACGATAATTCAGCAGAAAAACCGCGAAACATTTGTCCGACCGCCATTAATTCCGAAACTGCCCCGACGTTTCTGGCGAATCTGCATAAAACCGTAACGTACCACTCGATAATTCGACCGATACGCCCATGCTGACCCTTCACCCGCCTCACGTCCCTCCGCTCACCGCTCTTCCGCCCTTTTCCGATCCCCTTTCTCTCTCTTTCTCACCCTATCCCTATACCGCCAGGTGGTTCGGATCGTGTTTTATCTGCCGTTTTTTCCGCGCTCTGCACTTTCCGCAATTCCCTACAAATCCGCTCGATGTCACCGGCATGCGAGGGAGGAAGCGGACCCTTTGCGATCGTGTTACACGATACGGCGCAGCCAATAGCACTCTCGCCTGCTTCCGGCCAAACTATAATACACTCTATCTGCACACGATCAACTTTCATTTCTCTCTCCCCTCCCCCTCTCTTTCTCTCTCTCTTTCTCTCTCTCTCTCTATTTTACTTTTGCAAATGTCATAACGTTCTTTTCGTTTCGCGTGTTTCAGTTTAATCCGCCACGAAATAATTTCGCTTGAAATATGCGGCTACTTGTATGATATCAATGCGTTATATAGAAAATTAAAGTATCGCAATAATTTTCGTTTAATTCGCATCTTTCAAAAGAAGCTTAGCGTGGATTAAATGTATCTCACAATCAGTTGCAACACGAATATCTAAAGATAGATCGGAAACTCCTGTGTCGAACACTGTGCGAGTATTTCCGCGGCTGCTTTATCCGGCCGTTTTACTACTTAAGCTTTTATCACCACGCAAATCATCGTACAAGAGAACACGATCGCGAGTTGATAAAATTTAGAATTAAGTTCAAATGGGAACATTGTGGTTAGGAACATTTCGAAAACATTCCGCCGACTACGCTGGTCACCATCTCACGACATCTGTAATTAATTTTTCAAAGTAAAAATCGCGAATGTGCAAGGGGCGATGTTTGCAAGGGTCGACAAAAAGAAAAAGTTGCACAGTGCCGCGCGCTCGTTTGCTTTAACGCCCGTTACTTTCTAATTAAACCGACCACCGAAAACGAGAAATTGCAAGCGTGTATTTTTTTCGAAACTGACGCGCATGGTCGGTTGGCCGCCAGAAGTCGGCAGTCGGCAGAAGAAAAAAAAACAGAGATTGAGCCGCGGCTGATTAATTCTAATTGCATTAATTGAAGGGTTTCACGCGAAAATCGTTAGATTCGGTTTTTAGCAAACTTTCACAAAATTAAATAAAATTTTTAAACGATTCGACAACAACTTTTACAAAATAAAATTACAACATAAAGCTATCATTTTCATATATTTGGTAAGCATATCTTAAAAATTTCATTTTTTTATTATATATAGAATATATAATTGTATTAAAATTTTGTAAATATCCTACATATGCAAATGCGTGCACTTGAGAAACTTTTATGTAGTTAAATGCTATAAACGTTCTTCAAACGTTCTAAATGTAATATTTAATTTTTCATGATCCTGAATTATTAAGGAGAAATTAAAGATATTATTTTATAAGTTCAAAGAAAAACGCACATGTACACATAAACAATAAATAGTATACAAGTTATAAAACTCGTTAACTGAACTGAGCTCGCAGCACCTGACACTTGTAAGTACTTCTTGCAGGATGCAATTTTGCGGGGCCATTGAAGATCGACGATCTCGCAAATAATAATTACAGCAGAGACACAAAGAGGCTCTCGAGAGCCTCGCGGTGCACCTCTTGCGATCCAATCCCACGTCATCCCCTTAAAATCCCTTTGTCGACCCCGATAATCCCACGTCGGACATGGCTGAGGCGGCATCTCCCGCGTGTACTCAGCCTTCTCTTTTTCCAAAAATTCTATTACCAATAGAATTGGTAATAGAATTTGCGCGTAGATTTTATAATCTTTTTCACATCGCGCTAGGGAGCGAGAGAAAAAGAGAGTGAAGGAAAGAAAGGATATCCTTGACTTTCTGGATTACGGAGAGTAATACCTAAAAGGAAATGCACCTTTTATACGTCCATTTTACTGCAAGGTGTCCTGATTATTTACGGCATTATCCTGTCTTTTATATCCTAAATAAGAGTCCCTCCCTCCGGCTTTCGCGAGATGTAAGTAAATATAAAACGTTACTTATAAAAATTAAATTTGATCCCTTTTTACTTATTGTTAGTATATATGATAAAGGAATATAGTAACACGATATAAAAGAAAAGATTACAATCTCTTTGAGAGAGGGAAAAAAGAAGGAAATTAAAATAGCTTCTATTATTTCTCTAAGCGGATTATAAAACTATTGAAAAAGAAAGAGAAGAAATGGGTATATAGTTTTTTTTCTCTATTTTCTGGAACAATGGTTCAATTGTCGCCGAAATTACACGTGCAGAACTTGATTACTTTTTTGTGAAAAACGTGACACACAATCTTTAGATCTATTTTTTATTTTCTTCATCTTGTTATCGAAATACGCAAGCTTTGTTTCCGTATCAATTGATATGTTAATTGCTAATAAATAGTAGACTCCCGCCTCGATCGCGCGCGAATTTGAGTTCATAACCGAATCGCAAGTATTATACGGTATATATATACATATATATATGTGTAAGCAAAAATCGGCCAGAGTAGACGACGTTAATTCGTGCCGACCGTATATATCTCCTCCTGCCATTCTTCTCCCGTCCACACGGCCGTTCGCTGACGTAGATTGAAAAAGCAGCTCCATTATAAATAATTTAAATGCATTGCTGGGGAGCAAAAAGCGGATGGCAACTCGGCGACGGCGACGGCACCGGCAAAATTGATACGACGCGCGCTCGACTTTTCTCGCGGCGCGAACGCCGCTCGCCGCGGTCAATACATTTTCGGCCGCGAGTATGTATGTGCGTGCGGATTTCATATATATATATATATATATATATATTTATTTATTTGCGAGCTCGCTTCTCCATCAGCCTATCGTTCCTTCGCCATGTAAATCCGTCCCTCCCAAAGACGAAAGCACTCGCGAGTTTCGATTTCTCTTATTTTCGCTATATATATAGATTACCATATCAACGTGGAATCGTTAAAAATATATTTCGCGTCCTTCTTTTTTTTATTTATTTGAGTAAGTTCTGAGCTTGAAGAAGGAAGCGGTTAGAATGACGGAAGATGACAAGAGCTCGCCGTGAATCTCATGGGACTTCTGACGGACGAACGTGTCGTGATTTCGCGGCGTATTCCGTGATAAACCGTCGCAAAAGAAGTTTATGGCTCTATCAGACAAATCGCGATATGGAAACGAAGAACAGGAGAATGGCTGCGGCGGGAGAACGCGGTGGGAGAAACGGAGAGAATGCGGTGACGGTATGAGAGTAATGTACGAGTAAACGTATCGTCGATCTGGCGCATGAAAAGAAATCCCTCTTTCCGCAATTCCACCGGGTTTCCCCGGCAGAATCCTAATCTCCCGGCGCGCGCGGTGCGGATATAACGAACGTCGTTTCCCCCGCTCGACAGTCCTCCCTCGGCAGTCCGTTTTCGTACTCTTTTCTTCGGCCAGTACTGCGACGAAGGCAGTTGCAGAATAAGGCGGTACAGACAGCCTCGGTATCGGGATCTCCGGGATTACTATCCCGGAGCCTAATCAGCCAGATTGCCTGCAATTTGCCGTCCTTATCTCGGCGGTACCCTCCGCGAGTCTTCCGGTCTCTCTCTTTCTTCTAGTTTCAGAGGGACTCCTTCGTCCCTCTTCTTCCCTCCCCGCACGAAAGACCAACCTCTCGTCATCGGCGGATGGTCGCTTTGCGGAAGAATACTTCTACCTTTGCCAAATCTCAACAACCTACAGGGCACGTGGCCACGGAAATCTTTGGTGAATTATACGGGATTTCGGTGAATCGATACTTTTCCCATGGCGAGGTCGAAGATGAGTTTGCCGCACGGGGTCGGAAATGCACCAAGTTTAGGATAAAGAGAAAGGTTACGCGAATATAGTACTATTGTAGTATCTTGCGTAAGCAGACTTAGCATGACAGTTTCAAGTTCTCTTCACTGAGAAAAACATACTTAAAAATTTATTTGTGGAATATATTCACAGAAATAAACCTTACATTCCACAAGTGAGATTTTATTCTGTGAAATAATACTTATATTCCACAAATAAATTTTCAAGTATTTTTTTTTCCAGTGTTGATCGATCAACGTAACGGTATTGTTGAGGACAATGCTAGTGATTGCAACAGAAGCTGCAGATAAATACGTATGTTTCTATGTGTGCATAAAGATTGTTTTAAAATTATTAAAGTCAAATAAAATCGGGCGATTTTTCTCGTTATTAATTACAAGTCGCATATAGAAACTCATGAATAACAAGGCACTGTGGCGTTGAGCACAATGCTAAAATGGATCGAATTTACGATCGAGTTGATTTGTATTATTCGCAAATAATTGTTGCTGCCGGTAGACCGTCAATAATATAACGAAACTCCCAAAATTCGGAAGCACCGATCGTTAATGTCGATTACGGCACGTAGTTGCGCGGAAACTCTAGCGCACTCTCGTCAACACGGCGAACAATTGGTAATCAAGAACTGGCGCATGCAGTAACAACTATATATTGTTAGAGGTAACACTCACCCGCGTTATTACTGGCGAAATTTAGATCCTTACCTGAAACAAAGAAACATAGATGGTATTAATATCGTATCGACAAACAAATAATTTCGTGATATCGACCTCGGAATACGCAAGATGTGTTAGGAACGTTATCAAATTATATTGAAATGTCAGAAATACAAATAGACCGAAACAAAACTTCGGAAGATATCCAGGTCGATGCCGTATCTTGTAATTTCTCATGCTATAAGGAGTATCATAAGGTTTCTCGCAAGAAATAATATTATCAATTAACTAATAATAATACGAGATAGTTAATTAACTAATAATAATATTAGATATTACAGCTTATTTTAAGGTAAATCTTACGTAATTCGAAATAGCCTAATTTAACTTATTGTTAGAGAGATGTCAGATATACATATAAGACATGTTATATATTATGTATATTTAAAGGTTCGTACTTAAAAATAACGTTATTAGATGTCGAAATTGACGTCATCGACGCGATAACGCCGATTTAAAAAAAAAAGCATTTCGTGAATAACCGCATTTATTTTTCACCAGAATCATGCGGGATTTTATGCGATTTAAACCGATTTAACGCTTTCCTTCTGTTACACTTTGGAATTAAGTGCAGCTTCAACAACCGAGATGTTAGAATTTAGTTAAACACGCGATCCTTCGTGTTGCGCACATATTATTTCGCATAAACTAACCTTGTGTAATCCACGCGCAAGTAATCTACCCAAATAAACTGCGTACTGCAAATACATGGAATGTTTGCAGTTATACATGATCCTCTGGAAATGCAGGATCAAAGGTAGTATAAATAAGGTACCGGAAATAAGAACATGAGCGAAAGGCCTTGGGCGTGCGTCTCTCTGTAGAGATATACATGAATATTTTGATTTGCAACTCGCAAAATGCAAAACAGATATATAGCTGATCTCGTAAAAAGAGACATAAAATGATAAATTGCGTATTTTATCTTTCCTTACTTATTGGGAAGATTTAATTAGTATCTTGATATATTTTTCGTTACAAATAGATTTTGTCTCTGAATGCGTAAGGCGATTATTTTATATATATACTATATAGACATACTGCATGTATTTCTACCAAAATATTATTGTAGAAATAATGTACATAACCATTGGAAGTATCACGAATTAAAATACAACTAGCATAATGCATGTGACTGGACGTAAAATCCTGAGAAAGGCAACTCGATGCAATATTTACATGGTAATGGATCTTGGGAATTCGCGACGTTTTTCCTTCTCGCGATAAGGGATGCACCGTCGTCTGCAGCAGCTCGTATATATGGTCTGAGATTCGTAGATCTTTGTAGTGGTACTCAACTTCCGCTTGTACGGCCTCTCGAGCCGGTGAAACGCAACGGAAATCGTTTCTCGGACGTTCTAAGCTCCGCGGCATCCATGTGACCACGAAATATATATTAAATCCGGTTGTTTTATTCATGCGTGGAAAGACGAAGCTCCTGGTGGTAGCGGAGTTTTTGATAGCGACTCCCTTTATGGACGCTTCCGAAGGAAAAATGCCGAGCGGATCAGCACTGGGATAGAAAATCCGGACGATGGGGAAGGAAAATTCGCTAGACGATGACGACGAAAAGTATCTAGAAACGTGGCCGATAGTGGCCGCCGCTCCGAGAAAGTATCGCCGTCGGGGCTCTTTTCCTGCACGCGAAATCGCGGGTCATCGACGGAATAGCTACTGTTTACTGTTCACTCGCGTTGCCTGCCGAGAGAAATAGCGTACAAGAGAAGAGAAATTACATTTATCTATACGATGCTACTTTGTTCGAAAGAAAAAGTAGCAAAAATAGACTATTGCAAATGTATACGCTTCGAAAGAGATACACTGAAACGCGACGTGCATTTGATCCCGTTTTTCTCTCGTGTAATGTAAACATTTAAATAATCAAACTCGTACTTTTGCAAATAAATTCCGATCAATTTTGCTCTTAAAAATTAATCTTCTCTTTTTTCTCTCGAATTTAAGTATATATTATTAAGTATATAATCGTTTCATGTATTCTCGTCTCGCACCACTTGACAAATTTATTACGATCGTCATCAAGATGGATCAGTCTCGATCCGTGTGTCGATCCACCTTTATCAAGAATAGATGTGTAATGTGGGGCAACCACTTGAGCGTGATCGATAGCGCCGGTGAGAAAAATAAAAGACGTTCGCCGCTTCTCTGTCTCCAATCGAAACGATCCTCGGGAGGACATCGACAAAGAGCGCTTCGGCCATCACGAAGATTACCGCGACGATCCGCACCGGAGTAGTAGCAGCCGGGACGAGGCTGATTTATTTGTTGTCTAACGTCCCGACGAGTCCTTCTACATTATTTACCTCCCCGTCGGGGGCGGCAAACGCGCAGGACACAAAAGGGTGGATTCCACATTCGATCGTGGGATCAATGGATCTTGTCGACGAGAGATTTACTGCGCGGCGGTCCTTCCATCGCGACGTTGGGGTCACTGTGAAGACACCTTTATCCGCGCGGCGATCCACCCATCAGCCTGCTCTTTGTCATCCAGGTCGAGAAGGGGCGCAGGGGCGCGTATACGAAACAGACAGGAAAAAATGCAAATTGAGGGAAGGAATATAGCTGTGTCTCGTGGCATGAAGGGAAAAAATCGCGTTAAGAGCCGCCGACATTTTTCAAGCTGACGGGTCCGGCGAGGGGTGAAACAAAAATATCTTCTGGTATTCAAGCAAAAGACCACAAGCTGAAAAAGAAAAATAAGACCTGTGCTAATCTTTAAGTGAGATCTCGCTATAAAATAATGTCATACTTTCTTTCGAGTCTCTTTACACACGTTTGATCTATGAATAAAAGATCCTGAGAAATAATGCAAGAGGGCACGTGTATCAGTTGTCTCCTCCGCGATAAATTTCGCGTTCCTTAAATAATCAAACGTCTCGTAACCCTTAATCACGCGCTAGGAGATAAACGATTCGAACATGTGCGAAAAATGCGCTAACGGTTGGAGACTGTGTAATAAAAAATGGAAAAACGTTAAAAGTAGTGCGCGCGCGAAAGGCACGGAATTAAGTAGAGGAAAGGTGGTTGAAGGGGAAAGGGTGGGAGATGGCGTAAACAGCACTTTGTATCGACGCGTTTCGCGTACTTTTCTTTTCACCCCTGGCTACAACCCTCTCGACGAGCTTAAGTCCACTCTCCGACTTCCCTCTCTGCTGGAAACGTTTTTTTTTTCTCTCTTTATCTCGGCCGCTTTCGATCAGTCTGAATCTGCCACTTAGCGCGATCGTCCCTCCAAGGGTTGGCGCGGCGGGGCGCCAACCCTTCGAGGACGAATGGATGGATTCCCCGTTGAAGCAGTAAGTAAAAGCAAGCCGGGTTTTAGCGACGGAAGAAAACGGGTGACTGCCGAGAGGAAAGAGAAAAGGGCGGAGAGAGCTCGACTAGTGACAGTACGAAAAAGAGCCAATTTCAAAAGTGGTCGTTGCTGAAGGCAGGGGCGAGAAGCCTAACGAGAATTACAATCGTGCATAGCATTCTAGTACCGTGCTTGCAATAAAACAACAGGCAAAATGGGGAAGCAACCCTATAAAAGGAATTTAAATAGCACACAAATATTTTAAATTAACGGAGATAAATTCAGAGATGCGAATTCGCACTCTCTGTCGATCTTTTATTCTTTTATATAGTACCATTTAAAATTTATGTAAACAATAACAAGGTAGATGGACGTGCTTTGGTGTAAATTGAAAAACTACATTGCCGATTTATTTCATCATCAGCAAATGACTTTGTACTCATTACAGTAATGCTATTTATGTCAGTGAGTATCTCCCTGGTTCTTTGATGTTATTTATTTTTCCGAAAATCTCTCGGTCTAATCACACGAATACCAGTCGTATCCCAGATGTAACTTTTCATTTAGCTCGTCTCACGCTACGGCAAGACGATAACAAAAGGAGATCAAAGAGTTATGTCACTTCGTAACTCTGGGAAATATATTTATCAGGTTTGTGCTCGCGGATTTTTCGCGCAGCATCCGTTATTCGGCTCGCCCGTGACCAAATTGACGACGCGCGCGAATGTACTATGCATAAAGGAATCGCTGTAATATCAACTGTAGCAGCACTATGAAAAATTGAATGCCTTCGACGTCCATTGTTCCCGAGATTGAGAGAACCTTGGATTTTACTTCTCTCCGGCGATCGAATTTTAATCCCGCTGCAGAAATCGAGAAGGCACACAGTCCGCAGAGACAGAGAATACAAAATCACATCCAAGATATCTTTCTCGAATTCTCCATTTTTAATACATTTCTGTCGAAAGTTTATAATGAAATAAGTACCTCGCGAAGTCGTTTATCATTTCACGTGATGACATACGGTATGGCACGTAAACATGTGAAAGATATACAAGAAAATCTCTGTTAAAAAATATATATATATATATATTTCTATTTTGAATTCTCGTCTTTCTTTCCATATAGCCACGTGCTCGCATTTTATGCATATACCAATTTCTCATGCGATCCAACTCCAAATATTAAAGGGATTTACTCGCGTACTTCAAATTTTTCAACATTTTTTAAAGCACTTTTTTTAAGTTTTTTTTATATTTTAGATTTTAAAAATACGTTATTAAAATATTTTGATAATATCTACGGAGTTTATGAAGTTACAAGTTGAAGAATCAAATAGCGAAGCGAAGAATTTATCTAATGTGATTAAAAATAAAAAATCTAATGTAATTGGAATAAAATAATAAAAAGAATATTCAAAGCATACCCCCAATTAAATACAAGTTTGAACAAATTTAGTAAAAGTAACACTTTTTTTAACTATATTTTTTAAACTTGTGTCCATCACTAATAAAGCGATTATCCAATCGACCTTAAATCTTGTTAAAATCTAAATTAGACGTCTTTTTATCTCTATGTAGATTTTTTGCATCGCGTATCATTACATATTATTAGCCTAACACTGATCAAAAAGTTCTAATAAGTTGTTCAAATTTAATATAATAAAATTAAAAAC